GCGGCTGCGGGAAGTGAGCCGCCGCGAAGCCGCCCTGGCTGCGGCCCCGCTGCAGACTCCGCTCAAAGAGGAGCCCGAGAGGGAGAGGGACGGCTACGTGATCACTAAAGTCCACCTGTAGGGTTTGGCCGCGCCCACCACCCCGTGCCAGCGCTACTCCAAGCGTGGTCCGCGGACCAGAATCTTCAGCCTCACCTGGGAGCTGAGTCTCAGGCCCTCTGCCTCCTGGGGAATCGGAATTTCCAGTGGGAGGCCTTGAAAAGCGCTTTGGAAGCCTGAGAAGAACCAAAAATCATTTCCACTCTGCTTTCACCTGGGGTGCCTGCAGGTGCAAGCCCCAGCGGCCCCCTTTGCTGTTGGCGTTCATTGGGCATCCGTGCAGGGAGTGGTTTTCTCCAAATGCCATTGGAAATGAGAGCTCCAGCAGCCCCTTGAACCTAGGTCACCCGAAGCCTTGTACCTGGTGACTCTAAAAGGACAGGATCTTCGTTACACACCAAAGACTGCCACACCATGTGCCTGTACACCAGCCAGGACAACCCAGGGTCCATGGACATGAGGGTAAAAGCGTTTTATGCACACCAAAACAAACCCCCACGTTTTACTCATTTCCTGAGCAACTCTTTGATGAGCCGCCTTTGTCCAGCCCCCGTTCTGAAAAAGGGGCCACTTAGTTTCCACGACTGCTTTTTACCCCCTCATCATCTCTTATGCCTCAGCCGGACAATCCGGAGAACCCCTCTGTTTACTCCCCTCCGCAGTTTGCACAATACCAAGTGCACCTTTGTCTGTTTCACCTCAGCCAGGTTCTTTCCCATTTCAGACCCCAGTAGTGGCAGCTGTGGCCAATATCCCCACTTTCTGCCCCATGCCTGCCTCCTTACTAGCAAAACATGACCTCATCATTGCCAGGAAGGGCACCTCCTTTCCCCACGTTTCCACAGTGCTTGCTTCTGGGTCAAAGAAGGCATCCTTCCCACCTGAGGTAACCTCCTCTCATGTTCACATCCATTCCTTTTCCACCTTCCCTGGCTCTGCTCCATCAGTGTTCCTCATTTCTGCTGTCTTATTCCCTCCCTTTCCCCACACTTCCTCTTCCTCAGAAATGCCCAGTTTCCCTTGTACTGAAAATAAACACTCCCCCAGCCTGGATGCCCTTAAATGAACCACCATCCAAGGAGGGTCTGCTGGTCCTTGCTGCCTGTACTTCCTCCCCATCCTTCACACCTTTACTCCATGGTCATCTTTCCCGGCTACTCTGGACTCTTAAGAAGCCACCACAGTCTCCCAGTGGCTGCATAAGGTTATCGATTCAGCCTTTCATTTTGCTTAATCTCTTCTTAAAACTTCTTCTTTGGTAGGTAGAACTTGCTTTTCCTCCAGAGAATTCCTTTTCCTGACATAGGCTGATTCCCAAAAGATTTTTGTGAGGTCTATTTTTTCTCATTTTTTATATACGTAAAAATTTCAAGCATCCAGAAAAAGTTGAACGGCTAGTACAATGAATACCCATATGTGCCCTCCACCTAGACTGAACAATTATTAACATTTTGCCATATTTACATATTCTTCCCTCCACCCCATACATACATGACATTTCATTCCTATTTCAGTGTGTTTCCTAATAAAGACATTGTTCCACATGATTATAGTGCAATTACCATACATAAGAATATAAACAATTTTCTAATAGCCTCTAATAGTCAATCAAAATTCTCCAATATCAAAGTTAATGTATTACTTTTGATTATAACCCTTTTATAATCTTTTAGCCTAGAACATTTCCCTCACAATTTTTCCCCATGACACTTTTTTAAGTCCCAGCCATCTGTCTTATAGAATGAGCTATATCTGGATTTGTCTGTTTCCTTAAGCCAATTTCTGCACTCATTCTTGGCTCATCTGCCTGTAACAGCTGCAATAATCACCTCTGTGCCAATGACTCTTGAACACTTCCAGCCTTGAGTGTTCTCCCCCTGCCCCACCTCACCCCTGTTCTTCATGTCGGTCCAATCCCCTGCTGCATCTTTCCATCTCTACTTGCAAAACCCCCACTGCAGATGGAAAGGGCAAATCTATTCATCTCTGTATCCCCACCCCTCATCTTTACTGAATTCTTAAAGTGTATCAGGTACATACTTGTATTCTCGCACTTTATTCTCAAAGCAGCTCCATGGGGAGGTATTAATTCTATGCCTGTTTTACAACTAAGGAAACTGACATAGACAGGAGTTAAGCAGCTTGTACAAGAACTCAGCTGTTTAGTAAAGCTGAGATACAAATCCAGTCTTTACGCCCAGACGCCCAGCTCCAGCTGCTGTACTGGCTCCCGTATTACTCAGTCACCTGGCTGACACCTGTTTCCTTCCTGACCAATTCCAGGTAGAACCACAAGTGATATTAACATGTACTAAGCATTCACCATATGCCAGGGCCATGCTAAATGCTCTACAAGAATAATTGCCTACCCCACAGCAACCCCCATGACACAAGTGCTCTTATGCCCATTTTGCGGAGGAGGAGACAGGCTCAGGGGAGCTAAGTAATGTCTTCAGAGTCACACAACTACCAGGAGACAGAGTGGAACTTGAACTACAGTCTCACTGAATCCTAGGCCCTTGATCTACTGAGTCTGTTTCTACAAAAGATCACAACTATCTTCCCTAAGATGCCACCTGTCAAGCTCAGGCCCCACTTATCATTCATCTGGGATTCATCTTCCCACCTTGTCTTCCCCCACTGTCCCCTACCTGACACTCAGCTTGGCCAGAAGAATTGTACTAAGCCAACGCTGATATCACTTTTCCTGCTCCAAAGCCCCCAAAGTCACGTATCATCTACAAGCTTCGACTTTCTGGCCTGACATCCAAATCCACCCGCCCTGGCCAGTCTTATTTGTCCGTCCCTACGTATTCTCCAGCCAAACTAGACCCCTATTCTTCCTGACATGCCCTCTATGCCTCTGGTCACCTTCCCTCCTCTTAAAAAGTCCCTTTAATCTCTGAGCATGAAAAGTCCACTCATTTTTCTAAGGCCATACCCAAATTTGACTGCCTGCATGAAGCTTTCCTTGATTCCTCCTCGTTTAGAGATGATTCCTTCTCTGGGCTCTTGTAATATTTTATATCTCACAACCCTTAGAACTGGCCACCTAGCTTATGTGTATGTGGGTTCTTAGCTCTCTTGCCAGAGCCTGAGCCACTGGAGTTCACTCATCCTAGTCCCACATGCCTTACATAAAAATAACTGCTTAATAAATATTGGAGGTGTCAAATCCACTCAAAGTGTTTAAGATTTTTACAGGTTACTTTTCTCATAATTATTAATAAAACCATTTATCTTCAATTCTCTGAGTAGAATTCATAACAGAGAACACAGCCTAAAATGAAATAGCAGTAATGATTTTTTAAAGCTGTCTAGTCAATAAAAATTTAATAAGTATCAGTTATTGGGCTGTTTGGTGTTAATCCAATCCACTACTCTAGCATGTCATTATCAGGAATGTTTTCCCTAAAACTATTTTTTCATACACAAGGAATACAAATGCAATGTCCCAATCTGGGAAGAACAGCCAAAAAACAAGCCCACACAGTCCTGTTACCTTGGTAAAACTGCTAGTAAGTAGCATGTTAATATATTTTATTCTTCTTTTGCAATTTTTACAGTACTCTAATAATAGTGTAAGTTATTTGTCTTAAGTACCGACATTTAACTTCTTTATGTGGATTTATAAGTTAGGCTGTAAAATCTAAATTTGGAAATTTTAGAAGGAAAAAAAACCTTTACAAATGTTACTCTTCTATTTCACCAATTGTTAGAACCATTAAAATAAACAAAGATTTACTTTTAGAATCTTCACCAAGCCCTCAAAAAGATAGCTAATGAGAGCCTGAATAGCTGTTGGAGTGGGGGTCACGGGGAGAACAGGTAGCCTGACATGACCAAGTGCTGGTTGTGGGAGTAAAGGGAAGGCATTTTACTTTCTGCTTTATAAGCCATTGTATTGTTCTAATTTTTGTACAAAGCATAAGTTACTTTCATAATAAAAAATGAAGTTACTTACATTTTGCAAATGAAGAATTCTCACCTTTAGCATTCAGCTTCCTTAATTAAAATAAAATCTCCAACACAAGAACTGATATAATCCCCACTTCCAGAAAAGCCTAGAAAGATATGTAGCCCTTATCTAGACCAACTCCATCATTTGACAGAGGACAGAAATGAGTCCCAGAGTGGCTTGTCCACTACCAGGAGATAGTGGCTATGGTGGCTCAAGT